ATCACTTTAAATTTTACTTTAAAGTTAATTGACCGGCTAATATTAACACACTAAATTTAATAGAAAAGATAGGCCCCTAAGGGTGTGTTTGAAGTGATGTTTTAAAAGTACTTTTAGAAATTATTTCTCATAAATATTTTAAAAAAAAATAGTGATTGAAACCACTTCACCACTACTTCTACCACCACCACTATTGTCGTCGCTACCACCACCACTGTCGTCGCTACCACCACCACCGTCGTTGTTGCTATCGTCACCAGCACCACCCCCACCACTGCCGCCACCACCACCACCACCGCCGTCGCCTTCGCTGCCAACATTGCCACCACCAACGCTGTCGTCGTTACCGTCGCTGCTACCACCACCACCACAGTCATTGCCACCTACTAAAGCCATCATTGTCTCTTACCATCACCACCACCACCACCATCGCCGCCGCCCTCGCTGTGACCACCACCGCCACGATCATTGTCTCACACCACGACCATCACCGTCTCCTACCACCACCATTGTCGCACACCACCTCTCACCCCTACTACAAAATCGATACTTAAATTCATTTATCTTTTTTTTTATTTTTGTGATTTGATTTTTGATATGAATACAAATATGTTTATTGTTTACCAATTTTTATAAGGCACAGACAATTACTGGTATATATATATATATATATATATTCACACTACTAATGGTTTTTAATAATTTTGAAAGGCATCCTCGTATGTTCTGAAATTGTATTAACACCCCATGCCAAATTTGTCCCCAAAAGACATTGACAAAATAAGCCGTACAAATTATTCCCCATTTCCAAAAAATATAAGAATAAATAAACTAAAACAACCTCAATTCTACATCCAAAGAGCACCCTTGTCCAAAACATCACTTGCCTCTCACTTAAAGTAAACAATGCCATACTTCATTTTAAGAAAGTTGAGGACAAAATTTTCATTAAATATACTTAAAATTGAGTATTATGCAAATAATTGTGGATAAAAAAAAATAGTTTGAAGAATTAATACCAAAAAAAAAAACAAATAAAACGTTTAGTTTTGAACTTCATTATTGGGTGTAATATAANTTGTGGATAAAAAAAAATAGTTTGAAGAATTAATACCAAAAAAAAAAACAAATAAAACGTTTAGTTTTGAACTTCATTATTGGGTGTAATATAAAAATTTTAATTGAATAAAATTTAAAATACAAAAATCATTTGGGGGTACAAAGTATCATTTACCAATTATCAACAAAGGAATGGTTTGTTTATGAAATTCAATAAGTACAAATACATTGTGGTATTGATTAATTGAGTAAAACCCAATGAAAAATCAATCCAAACTAGGAGCGAGTGCAGTCTAACTTCAAAAACTATGAGGGCATCTCTTTAAATTATGAAAAAAATTGGGGGTATCAATGTAATTTGCTAATGTTTTGGTATTTGACTTTTATATAGGGGTAACGCAACTCAATTTTACCATCACTCATTATAAATTCAAAGGGGAGTCCCTAGTTATATATTCATGGGCTTTTAACCCATGCAATGTGGGTGATTCGTTACGGAGTAAAATTGAGCGAAAGTATAAGAAAAAAAGTTCAATTTGTGAAGCATGCTTCACATGTGATGGAAGATCACGTGAGGTCAATCAGTTTGTGCTTTTTAATTATCTTTTAAGCAAATGTTCAAACAATTTTAAAACTATGACATTTGTTTTAAATTGTTCCAATTTGCCCCTAGAACTGTATNATCAGTTTGTGCTTTTTAATTATCTTTTAAGCAAATGTTCAAACAATTTTAAAACTATGACATTTGTTTTAAATTGTTCCAATTTGCCCCTAGAACTGTATAATTTATTTATTACAATCAATCCCTTTTGTTAAGATTAATCAATAATTGAGATATATTTTTTTAAAANATAATTTATTTATTACAATCAATCCCTTTTGTTAAGATTAATCAATAATTGAGATATTTTTTTTTTTTTAAAATTTAACCATCAAAAGAGATAGATTCCGTTAAGTTTAATCGTTAATTTATCTAATTTAATGGTTAATCTTAATAGAAAGGGTCGATTGAAACAAAATTACATAGTTCAGGAGACAAATTAAAATAATTAAAAGTTCAGGGGTCAATTTAAAATAAAGATCTTAGTTGATGGGCATTTATAAGATTTACCCTATTCTTTATAGCAGAATCAAAAAGATATCTTGTACTAAACATATAAGACCCTTGCGAGGCACGAGGCCACACTAAATAATGGTCACCCTGAATGAACAATATGTGAACTAATGTAAGATCAACTATTGGTACCTACAGAAATTAAGGGGGTTAATGGGTTAATTATGTCATGTTAGTTTATGTTGTGTTAATATTATTTTCACTCATATTTGATTTATTTGTGGTCTTGTATAGTCTGATTTATGTCATATATTTACAGTGTACAGTCAATTTTATATTTCTTGGCAATATAAGTGCAATAATGAACGAATCTCATCAGAACTCTGCAGTTAAACGTGTTTAAACAAGAGTAGTACTAGGATTAGTGACCCCCTAAGTAGTCCTTGTATTGCACCCATTTTAAAAAGAAAAAGAAAAATATTTCTCGATGATACATTTATTATTAAATCGGCTTAATATAAAAAAGTCAGAGTTAAAAAAACTTTTGGAACTGTTTAGAGTGTTTATGAAAAAGACGATTTTTTCTTGGAACTCCTTGGATAAGCCCCATTTTTAAGTTTTCCCTTGGTGTTGATAAAAGTTGTTTTTGCTCAAAANACTTTTGGAACTGTTTAGAGTGTTTATGAAAAAGACGATTTTTTCTTGGAACTCCTTGGATAAGCCCCATTTTTAAGTTTTCCCTTGGTGTTGATAAAAGTTGTTTTTGCTCAAAAAAAACTAATAGAAAAAGCCATCCATAAGCCCAAATTCAAACAAATCAGACTACTTTTTGTTTGAAAACATGAAAAAAAAACTGAGATTTTCAACCCCCAAACAGGCCATTGTTGAGTTTGTAAGTGTTTCTCACTCCAAAAATTAAACCTTTTAGTGACGGATTGTTTCGGGTATAACCTGGAATGAGACTAAATAATGAATTTGAGCCCACTTCATATTTCATTCTGCCATACATATTATGTTTGAATCAAGATTAAGATAATAGATGAATCTATCATCATAATAGGAATAATTTTTATTACGATAATGATTTTTTTTTTCTCCGTAACATAGTGCTATATCAAAACATGGCCTACAATGAAATTTTGAGTTGGAAATCCTTGATTTGAGGTCTAATCTGGTAAGGAAAAAAAAATGACATTGCATTGAAGTTCCTAGGTCCAGAGACTCTTGAGGATTAGGTTGTTGTCTAGATACAAGGCCTCTTGGATCAATTTTACATTATCAAATATACCCTAAGTTAATATGAATGTTTTAACGCCCCATTTGTTTTTGTTCCTTGTTTTTTTGAGGTCCGAGCAATATATCACGCAATAGAATACTTTGAATTTCACGTCCTAACCACTAGTAGCCTAACTCCATCAAATTGCATACATTCTCATCATCTCTCAATAATTAACATGGTTATTCGACTAATTATAACTAAAAATTGTTAAACCGAATCATGAAAATTTTGCGAAGAGCGTGGAAGACTTCCTTCTTCACTGAGAAATCAAAATCTTCTTGAAAACTTGAGTGGAGAGAGAACACCATATGGGTCTCTAGCAGCCCCATAAAAATTAAAGCCTTCANTTCTTGAAAACTTGAGTGGAGAGAGAACACCATATGGGTCTCTAGCAGCCCCATAAAAATTAAAGCCTTCACGGGCTGGTGCTCTACCTCCAACAAAGTTGGCTGTTCCAATATGACTAACAAAACGACGTTATTTTGTAAGTTAAACGGCCTTGTTTTCTTAGTGTTCAAAGAATAACTATGTCTTTTGTATGTCAGAGGAGTTACACATCTAACTAGCAATTGATCACTTGGTGGCATAACTAAAAGTCATATATATGACCAGATGGAAATTGGAGGAGAATTCCATGTCAACAAGATATAACCCTAATCATACACAAGTTTTTGATCCAAATAAATCCTAATGCAATTTGTTTTAATTAAGATACAATTCTACTCGAAATAAAATCCATTTTACACTATTTCATTCTGCATCAACTTTAGCTCGAGCTTACAAGCGACACCCATTTCACGGGTAACTACCCCCTCAATTAAAATCATGTACCACAACAGAAAGAAAAATCGTTAATTTTCTCTAATTACTTAATCCTTTTGGTGTTATAATTACTACGGTCACATAATTGACTATTTTTTTTTAATTTGAACAACGCAGAGTGCTCTAATCGAATAGTGGTGAAAGAGAATGTTTAACAGTTATTTGTGCGATATGAAATTTAGACAAAATGTTTGAAAATGTGCACGAAGAAATAAGTTGATAAATAATCCATAATCATCCATTTCTAAACGGTCCCAAAACGTTTGCCATCTTGTACATTGTTCAATGATCAAACTGTTGTCCAAGCCACTTTAATACTAAGACAGACAATAACAAACAGAAGAAGATGAAGACGAAGAAAAGTGTACCTTATCAATAATGGGACATTTTTATTAAAATTGTACTGGTAGGTTGTACATTTTCACTTGTCTCACTGATTTAGATATAAAAAATAAAGTCCAAGTGGAAAGACAACTCTCTTGTACAAAAACGTTAAAAAANAGGTTGTACATTTTCACTTGTCTCACTGATTTAGATATAAAAAATAAAGTCCAAGTGAAAAGACAACTCTCTGGTACAAAAACGTAAAAAAAAAACACACTTATTGATATGCATCACAATCACACAAGAAACCAAAACCCAGGTGCAATCAAAAGTTCACATTAAGAGGCCTTCAATGTGTTTGCAACATCGAGTACAAATCGGTAGCGGACATGTCCTTTCTGAAGGCGCTCCATTGCAGTGTTCACGTAGTCCATAGAAATAATCTCCACATCGGCTGTGNCATTAAGAGGCCTTCAATGTGTTTGCAACATCGAGTACAAATCGGTAGCGGACATGTCCTTTCTGAAGCCGCTCCATTGCAGTGTTCACGTAGTCCATAGAAATAACCTCCACATCGGCTGTAATGTTGTGTTTTGCAGCAAAATCAAGCATTTCTTGGGTCTCCTTTATCCCACCAATGGCACTCCCAGCCACTATCTTCCGACCTATCATTCCATACCCCAAAGAGTTGTTTGTATTAGAATGCCAGATAACAAGGTACCATNGCAAAATCAAGCATTTCTTGGGTCTCCTTTATCCCACCAATGGCACTCCCAGCCACTATCTTCCGACCTATCATTCCATACCCCAGAGAGTTGTTTGTATTAGAATGCCAGATAACAAGGTACCATTTGATAATATTTTTTAAATTACTTTGTTTTTTTTTAATGTTTTTGATGTATTTTTTTAAGTAGCTTTTGCTTGTTTTGGCACAACTCCCTTCTTCAAACCATAATTATATGAATAATAAGATACAATATAATTGTTAAGTGTATTAGTTAAGTACTAAAAAGTAATCTTACTAATTAAATATATTTTTTACATTTTTGACTAAATTGCCTTTTTTCTTGAAAACAATTATATAATAACAAAAAAGCATTACCAAACGATGGTTTTAAGCTTTGCAAGAATATTCTTTTCTCATTTTTCATGATGCCNTTCATGGTACAAGTAAAAGTGGAATGCTTACCAATAATCATTGGACACACTGGTAGACCTAGAGGCTCTTCTGTAGCACCAACTATAACAAGCTTTCCATGGGGTTTCAATAGATTAATCAACGGTAAAAGAGGATGAACTGCAGAGCTAGTATCAATGATACCATCCATTGTCTCCGCTGCAGCCTAGCCATATTCAACATAATATAACATAGAAAATAAAGTTCTGAGATCACTACAAAAAATTAGAATTTTATCAACATTTTGACATGATAACAANCTACAAAAAATTAGAATTTTATCAACATTTTGACAATGATAACAATCCTACTACTAATTACCTGCATTTGATCTGAGTCGTTACTGACCAAAAACGAGTCAGCACCAAGATATTTAATAGCTCCATCCTTTTTTTTTGGGGATGTACTAATCACTGTGACTTTAACCCCAAAAGCCTTTGCAATTTTCACAGCTAGATGACCAATCCCTCCGAGACCTACCACCCCAACATGCATACCTGGCTTGTCGAGTTTAAAATATCTCAAAGGGCTGTAAGTTATTATTCCAGCACCTAGAAGTGGATCACAAAAATCAAGAGGCAAGTTACCGACATGATCTGGTTTGTGTAGTATTGTTAATTTAATTTGCCGTGTCAAGAATTGTGACTCTTACCTAGAAGGGGAGCACCAGAATCAAGAGGCAAATTTTCTGGCCATCGAAGCACAAAGTGTTCATCAACGACCATGTGGTCAGAGTAGCCCCCATAGTTGGTGGTTCCATCTTTGTAGGGTGGTGGAGGACTGTCTGTGAGTTGGTGTGCAGAGCAATAATTTTCGAAATTGTTAATGCAATTCTCACATTTCCGACATGATCCAATCACGGATCCAATACCCACTTTGTCTCCAATGTTGAATTTTTGTACCTTGGCACCCACTTCTGTTACTATACCCACAATCTCATGCCTGCATTGAACAATTTAGTGGATACATACTACAAAAACCGAGGAAAAGAAGTTTTCATCGACACAATAATATTCATACAACTTTGGCATAGGAAATTTATTTTTGAGGGTTAACATTGGTAGGGGATATGTGGCCGGAACATTGCCACATTTTGCAAATGGTTTAGTAAATAGAAGTCTAGTTTGAATGAAAAGAAATTTAATCTTCGTCATGGATGGCCATTACCGACTAATTTTAGGGTTTTCCCTGAAAAATGTTTCCTCAGTAAAAACCTTGTGCAGTAGTTCCTAAACAAAAATTACTTCTTGTTGATTAGAGTTATATCCTCCAGATATGCATAACTATAACAGGAGAGACCAAACATACCCTGGGACATTTGGATATACTGTAGCACTCCATTCGTTCTTGTTCATCTCAAGATCAAAGTGACAAATCCCGCAATACAATACTTTCAACCTCACATCCTTATCACCAGTAGCCCTGCACCATCAGATCACACACATTCTCACCATCACTAATTCAATTAACATGGTCATTTACACTAACTAATAACCAATTTTTTTTCTAAGTAAGTCGCTTGAAGTAGGGGAAAAGTACAAAGGACTTTCAACAAGATAGAAGCCCTAACCTTCTTGAAAACTTAAAGGGAGAGAGAACACCAGACGGGTCTCTAGCTGCCCATCCAAAAGCTTCTACCTCCTCTGATTTTGCCATTAGGAAGAGAAAATAATAATCTAGAGTGACTGGAGAATTGGTGTATGTGAATGGTGGTGACTTTGGGTTTGTGAGGTTGCATTGCTCTCTACATATATGTGTATGTGCAGGCCACATAAGACCCTCGTGGGGCGCGAGGCCTCATAAAAAAAAGCCTCAACTTTTTTTGGAGCTACATGGTGTTCATGGTGGGTACTACCTACTGACATTCCCATAGTATATTAATAATATGCCAACGAGATAAGGGATAGAAATGGGNCTTTCAACAAGATAGAAGCCCTAACCTTCTTGAAAACTTAAAGGGAGAGAGAACACCGGACGGGTCTCTAGCTGCCCATCCAAAAGCTTCTACCTCCTCTGATTTTGCCATTAGGAAGAGAAAATAAGAATCTAGAGTGACTGGAGAATTGGTGTATGTGAATGGTGGTGACTTTGGGTTTGTGAGGTTGCATTGCTCTCTACATATATGTGTATGTGCAGGCCACATAAGACCCTCGTGGGGCGCGAGGCCTCATAAAAAAAAGCCTCAACTTTTTTTGGAGCTACATGGTGTTCATGGTGGGTACTACCTACTGACATTCCCATAGTATATTAATAATATGCCAACGAGATAAGGGATAGAAATGGGTGGGTCACAAAGAAGACAAAAGATTCCAGCTCTCACTCATCCTAATATGAGCCCTCATGAATTCTTTATTTTTATTATTTTTTAAATATCATCTAAAATAAGAAAAGCATACGAGATATCCTTTGCCTCAAAGCATTTTGGAGAGAAACAGTTAATTCTGAGAACATCATTAGCAGAATCTGATTGAATTCAGTATGTATACTAGTATTGGGCAAAAAGTTTGAGGTTCTTGCAATAGTACAAATAGGCTATGTAAAGCAGCTCACTAGTATTTTATTATCACCCCATATCACTGTTCAGAGTAGGTTTGATAATTGTAGACACGACTTATAAACTAGACATGAAATTGGTACTGGGGGAGATTGAAAACAATTCACAAGTTGATCCAAGAAGAGGATTAAGTCCAAGCAAGTCAAAATATGACAAGGCTTAAGATTCAAGGCTAAATTATTGTACAAAATAGTAAAACCAAATTTTATTTAGACTGCATGAAATTTGAACAAAAACTACAAAACAGTAACTTGTACTCCGTATATTCTTTGAAATCTCTTATTTTTTTATAATTAAGTAATTGTAAGCTAAATTTTTTGCTAATGTTTTTCTTAAATTACACAACAACAGAGTCCATATCCTTTATTTAGTTTGTGAAACTTATTTGAGATTATTCTCAATCTTGTTGAGAAATTGAATGTTTGATAAATAAGAGAAAACTTTTAGGTTACAACAGTTTATTATTACATCTAATCATGTTTTACAGCATTATAGGCAACTAACATACGGAAAACAAAAGTGAATATAAAAATATATACAATAATTTTAAAAAATAGGAAGTGTTGGATTAGATAGAAGAGTAGTGTCCTTTGGTCAATATGAAAATAGGCCAAGACATTTTACACCTAATTTACTCCATCAAAAAATAAAATATTTATTTTAGGGTGGCAATGTGTCTCTACTTGACTATTGGAACTACTTCACATTATCCTAAATAAAATGTACGATATATTTTGGATGGAAAATGACTAAATGCGTAGTAAAATACAAGTTTCTAACATACATAATATGACAATGTGAAACTAATAACCATGTCTAAAATATACCAGTTGTTATTAGTTAGGCATGTTGCTAGTACTGAATTTTTTGTGTATGAAACATTGTTTTTTCTACACATTACATTTTCATTGAGTTGTATAACTCTCCTCCCTACCATTGTACTTGATAACTATGGTACNGCCACATAAGACCCTCGTGGGGCGCGAGGCCTCATAAAAAAAAGCCTCAACTTTTTTGGGAGCTACATGGTGTTCATGGTGGGTACTACCTACTGACATTCCCATAGTATAGTAATAATATGCCAACGAGATAAGGGATAGAAATGGCNATTATTCACTCTATTATTTTTTCTTTTCTCATTTGTAACATGTTTGGTTCATGATTAGAATAAGGCGTGAGTTCATTATCTTGATGCCGGTCTTGGTTGGGGATTGGGTATTAATGTATGGTATTAAATTAATAAGAAAAACTAATACTTTCATGTGATCAAATTCAATGCCAAGTCAAAGGTGCTTTTGTCATTTTTAATCCTAATATCAAATGGCATTGATGTTGTACCACCTATATCATAGGGATCTAGTTGTACAGTCATGTGATATTAGTAGACACTATAACATCGCATCAAGTCGGTATTAGCTTGTGCTATAAGACAGCGAGGGTCACGTAACTTGTTTCAAATATGGTATTTACTTTGGTCTAATTTTTTTTTCCTACCATTAATACCCGAACCAAATATACCCTTAATGAAAATTTTGCACGGAATTCACAATCATTGGACNCCCTTCATGAAAATTTTGCACGGAATTCACTATCATTGGAGGGTGCATGCGTACATGCATGTAAAAGGCACTACATACTATTTTTAAGACTACAACCTATAAGATTTTGAATCGAGCATCATTTATTTTAAATATAAAAGTGTTCTGACTTTTGGATCTTAATTAATCCTTATTAGTAAAAATCTGTTCCCAACCTAGGTTCCGTGGATCCACGTATTGCTATTAAAATTAGAATTATCATTTTGTTGGTTAACATTCATAAGATTGTAGTTTTAGTTGTGTCTTCTTAGAGGGAAGAGAAACCTCAAAAATAGGCCAGCTATATAACTAAATGTAAATTTAATGAAATCTTCTTAGTATTCATGACATTTTCGTTCTTTATTTTTTAAACTTTTCATTCTGATGTGATTTAAAATTAAAGAGTTAAGAAAATAATGATTTACGCAAGTATTCATTGTAAACTTGTGACATTAGTCGATATGTCATTGGATTTCTTTCATCTGTTTATGATGATGATCTATAAATTAAGTTATTACAGTTGTATGACAATTGGTAAATACCGTAGAGGTTTGACAAGAATTATTATAAAATTGCATTTGTAATTTCCACATTTTCACTTCCCCCAGCTGATTTAGACTATATATCAAATCAAACTGACGTACAAGACAAGTAGACAACACTGTAGGCAAGAAAAAAATCACACAACACATCAAATTAACTTCTTGAGGTCACCCTCTTATTGAAATCAATAGTAAACAACTCGAACATGATCGTAGAAGAAAAACCCAAGTGCCATCAATGTTCACATTAATTAGTCTTCAATGTGCTGCCATATCCAGAACAAATCGGTAGCAGACATCGCCTTTCTCGAGACGCTCCATTGCTGTGTTCACATAGTCTATAGGAATAACCTCCACATCCGCTACAATGTTGTGTTTTGCTGCAAAATCAAGCATTTCTTGCGTCTCTTTCAATCCTCCAATGTCAGTTCCGGCCACTATTTTTCGACCTGTCATTCCATACCCCAAGTCAGTNGCTGCAAAATCAAGCATCTCTTGCGTCTCTTTCAACCCTCCAATGTCAGTTCCGGCCACTATTTTTCGACCTATCATTCCCTACCCCAAGTCAGCTATACTGTCTTGTTCAATTTAGTTAATAAAACCAAGTTTTTTATATCAAAAACTAATGCTAGATAACTTAAAGTTGTGCAAGACCTTTAATCACAACTCTTTCCATAGATGCTAGTAAGTGAAATGCACTTACCAGAAATCAAAAGGGACACCGGTAGATCTAGCAGCTCTAATGGTCCACCGCTCATCACAAGCTTTCCATCGGTTTTTAATAAATCAATTAAAGGTTGAAGAGAATGAACTGCAGGGACGGTATCAATGATACCATCTAGTGTGCCCATTGCAATCTAGTCATATCAAACATAACAACATGAGGACTGAATACCATAAAACATCTCGATATGAGATGAAGAAGTAGTCTAGTTGTAAAGGCTCACTCACANACTGAATACCATAAAACATTTCGATATGAAATGACGGACTCATCTGGTGGTAAAGGCTCACTTTTGTCCACAGGTGGTTGGGGCTTCTGCTCTTTCCCATCTCCACTCCATAAAAAAAAAGTAAAAAAGTAAAGATTCCTACTAATTAATAATTACCTGCATCTGATCGGGGTCACTACTGACCAAAAATGAGTCAATGTCAAGGTTTTTGATAGCTCCCTCCTTCTTATTAGGGGATGTACTAATCACTGTCACTTTACCACCAAGGGCCTTTACAAATTTCACAGCCAAATGGCCATGTCCTCCGAGACCCACCACCCCAATGTGCATACCAGGCTTGTCAAGTTCAAAATACCTCAATGAACTGTACATTGTGATTCCTGCACCGAGGAGAGGGGCGCCGGAATCTAGAGGCAAGTCGTCAGGCCAACGAAGTACAAAGTGCTCATCGGCGACCATGTGATCGGAGAAACCCCCATGGATTATGATTCCATCAACGTAGGGGGGACTGTCTGTGAGCATTTGTTGGGGACAATAATTTTCAAGGTTGTTAGCACAGCTCTCGCATTTTCGACATGATCCCACCAGGCATCCCACGCCCACTTTGTCTCCGACATTAAACTTTTGCACGTTCTTGCCCACTTCAGTCACTACACCCACAATCTCATGCCTGCATTGATCATTTCAATTTAGATACATGAGATATACCTCAAAAGCAAAACTATTGGTCCCCAACTAGAATTAAATCACCAAAACTATTTTTAACTTCGATAAAGTGATCAACTGGGTCTAGTCTAGTTGGTGGCTTGATTCTCTTGAGAAGAAAAACTAAGGGTCAAGGAGTAAACTTTATCAAAGTCAATGACTGAATTCTCTCAATGTCCCCCTCTTCGATGTTCGATTGAGCCCCCTTTTGGGACTTCTATTTCACCCCCTCAATGGATTTTCTCCTTTGTTATAGGTGTGTGGTTAAAAAATTATAATGGATGCCAATAGTAATCTATCTATGTGTATGAAGAAAAAAAAATCAATAAATGTACATATTAAGCGGGAGACCGACCAAACATTACATTATACATACCCTGGAACAGTTGGATACAATGCAACACCCCAATAATCCTTGTTCATCATAAGGTCTGAGCGACAGATCCCGCAATACAACACCTTCAATCTCACGTCTTGATCACCAGTAGTCCTACATAGTCATACCACACACATTAGCACCACCATCATCGTATCAATAAACATGGTCACTCAACCTAGCTATATAACAAAAATACTTTAAACTAACTCAAGAAAAGTATGTCATGTCACAAGGATGAAAGACTTTTGTCTCGTTAATTTATAATGAACAAGATATTTTCTTCCATTAAGGGAGAAACCCAAACCAAACCTTCTTG